GCCGCTGCAGACCGCTTGAACTTGAGGACGTGAAATTTCGCGGCAGTCGGAGTAAATTATCAGTGAGTCAAAACACCAGCTTGATCGATGTCATTAGCAAACAATTGTGGGTGGAATGGAATGTGACGATCGTGCACACGGGCGTTGTGCGCAATATGCTGACCAAACCTCCCTGGAGAAACGTTTAAACCGTTTTACTCTGTGGCCTCAGCCCGGTAGGGGGTTTTTCCGTCAGTATTCCAGTAGAGATTATTCACTCTAGCTCCCGTGAGTAAGCATTTATGCAGCTTTGCTTCAGTATTGGTCTCAACAAGACTCTGGATGGCATTTGATATTCACCGAAAACTTACTGGGTTACATTTTGAACCCAACAAGGGAGGTTGAAACCAGCAAGTATCCAAATTTGGGTTCTGTCAGCCCAAGTTTGGTGTACATGTACAGTGTTGAAATTAATTTCTGGTTTGTTTTAAGCAAAAAAAGAGGTTATCACTACCTCATTTTATGGGTGAAAAATGAACCAGAAAGTTATTCTAATCTACCAAACCGAATCAAGACAATCCCAATGGCTGAGCCACGCATTGGAATTGGGAATGATCCCCTTCCAACTTCGCATGTTTTATGTACGTTAATTTTGAAGGGATTGGTAAGGGGGCCTTTCTAATATATTCCTGTGCTTCAAATCTACACCCCGTGGACGGACACGTGTACTAAGAGCAGGGAGCAATGCTGTCAACACGGCCTGACTCATCTGGGCATTTTGGCGGGCGCCTTTTCAAAAATGTCAACGCCATCTTTCCACTGTGCCCGAGCTTCACTTATTTGAGCCCACAGACTGATTGAAGACACGGTGTGTCGCTACAGCTAGACACCCCCCCCCCAAAAAAAATGGGGTGGAGGTAACTAAATGTTTGCTTAAATGTGACCGCTACTGGTGCATAATTAGGCCTAAGTCTGTGTCGCATAGTAATGACAGCATTCCATCTTCCTACAACCTTTTTTATAAAGATAGATAACATGCATAACTGCAACCGTGTAACTAAATGTTTGCTTAAATGTGACCGCTACTGGTGCATAATTAGGCCTAAGTCTGTGTCGCATAGTAATGACAGCATTCCATCTTCCTACAACCTTTTTTATAAAGATAGATAACATGCATAACTGCAACCGTGGTAGGACAAAACAGGGACGGATTACACTACAGTGAAAGTTGCACTTTTTGTAGATTTTTATTTTTTTTGCGAGGACAGAAGCCGATCACGTTGCTGCATCTGCTCAAATCTGCGATGGTGCGGGGATGTACGTTGTCGGATCTGACTACACTTCCTGATGAACGTTTGTCTCAGTCTAGTTGGTCGCACTATGGCTCGTAGACAGGAATTCCTGCAAACTCTACACGGCAATCGCTAGGAACAGGTATGATATGTTGATGGTGGTGACTGTACTTGTTGATATCATCCCAGTCTGACCTGCAACGTGGTGGTCTAGAATGTACGTCACGTAGTAGGCCTTCCAACTCCTGACACAATACCAGTCCTACACTATTACCCAGAGAATTGGCCGTCGAGTTGGAAGCCAAGAAATATATGCTTCATTAAATATACTCTGACGGCAACAAGAATATTACAATTTGGACGGTGCCCCCGAGAAAGCACCAAGGTTCGTTCGACGGGAAAGATGGGTCATCGGTTTGGGGAGCAGAGCAGGATGCTTCAGGCACGAAAGTGTTCTACCCGAGGGATGGATATCACCAAGACAGGAAGAGCTACTCAGAGACGATTGAAGCTGAACAAGGAAAGTGACATGTAGGCCTCTTGTTATAATACTTTATGCTGGGTTCGCATCCTCTGTCTAGCCGGCCTATTTTTTTCTCGAGTTGAAATCCCCTGTCCATCAACGGACAGGTTGGATGACGCGGCGCTCTCTTGTGCGGAGTAGGACTACGTGCACCGGCTTGGCTACAAACGAAAGGGATCGCAACGATGGTGATGATAACGACGTCTGAATTTTGTCTCACTATCGCGTACAATTGCTCCGTTTCATTTGAGGAGCAGACCGAATAATTGATTGCCACCATTTTGCAAAATGTCATTGGCTCTTTAATGGTCGAAACAACAAAATAAATAAATACTCGATGTCTCAAAATGAATCAGGTCATCAGCATTCATAAGCATCAAGTTTCTGTGCAGATTTTTTTTATTCAGTTCAGATTTGACTGACCTGACTGCCATTTTGAAAATATTTCAGAGTGTTGTTTCAGATTATCAGGCAATGGACAGTGAGTGCGTGTCGGCTTACACACAATTTTTCACATAGGTAAAACAGTGGTTTTAAGACAAGTGACCTCTGCATGCTTGTAATAAATACCCTCGGTGACATTTACCCGGTCTGACGGATACTGTGATGACTGACCAATCCTGAAGAATGGCAAAAAGTCATGCAACAAAAGGGCCCGCTAGACTGCATTGTCTGACACGGACGTATTTGTAAGAGCGTGCATTGACGACAGTTTGGCTCGTCTCACACCCGCGTATCGCAGAACAGAAAGGCCGACACTGAATAGCTTAAAATCCAACATATCACAGCCTTGTTACGGGTGACATTAGACGGTATTTATGTAAAGAGACAGGCAAGAGAGGGTATTCTATTTCAACAAGATGAGTCTTCTACTTTTGGCAATAATATTCGATTTGTCGACCAATTTCGGGTTTTGAGAGCATACCAATTAGAGTACTTCATTACAGGCATATCAAAGTAGGTCGAGACGGTAAAATGAAGTGTAAAGCACTGTGTCTTGCACCGCTGTTTTTGGAATCGTTGAGTATGAAACGTTACTCGTGAGATATACCTGTAGTTCATTTTCAATGTTGATGTTTGATACATCTCAAAAGGAAAAAGCAAGAATAACGTCATTGTGATAAAAGAAGGTGGCCAAATCTTGGCCACGAGATACAGTAATAGGTGTTCCTTCGCATGCTGTGTGAGGGTATCAAATGAAATAGGCTTAACTCGGCCAGTTAGGTCCAAATCATTAAGCTGTCCGCTAGTGATCGCGCACGCTTGTTTGAAAGTTCAGAGACTGTGCTTTCTGTACGCGTTCTACCACAGGTCTTCCCCCCGTGTACCTATTTTCCTCGTCAATAGGTCAAGCAGTCTGTGATGGCGCCTCCAACACGGCTTGTTTCTTGGATTCAGTGGGGAGTCCTCACCAGCACTAATTGTTCATTTGACGAGTACGACACTCGCATCTGACAGCTTGTAGGAATTATTTTTAAAAAATGAACAGGCCCGTAAAAACAATACGTTTTTCTCTCCCGATTGTTTCCTCGTCGAACTCGACCTTCAAATTCTTCAAGTTGCATGTGGAAGTCCGTAACGAAGAAGTCTTACTTTGTCAATCAGCCAAAGGTATAATGTATAAAATAGTTTTGTCCTCAATTTCCGGTCTGTTCAGAACATGAATACCAGCAGGTATTGTTCGTTGTGTGACTGGATGCACATGTACTGTATGTAGGCCCCTCAGTTTACAGGGCTAATGCAGCGTATCTGTGCTGCAGACGCATGCGTTTAGACGCACATGGAAGCTGCTATCAAATGATCATTCATAAATATGTAACATTTAGACATATCGAGAAAATGACCATTCTCCGTTTATTTGGATGATAATCCCCGACTGGATTCAGCCTATATGGGCCACTGAGGCATTTTTCTACCCAAGAAGCAGAATACATCTTTGGCGTCGACGGTATTTCTGTTTAGTACCTTTACTTTCAGAACCCGTTCCTAAGGGGGCAATCAAAAAGACGGTGTGACCTTCACCAGTCATTTGGAGGCCAATCGCGAAGTATGCCTTGCCAAGGGCAAAAAATTTACATGGTAGCGAAAAGAACCGCCAAAATTCTGACCGCGCGTCCTGCGCGAGCTTTTGCGGTCTGTGGTGTGCCCCGCTGTCAAAGAGGTGTGATCGTCGGCGACATGTGCATTGTTAGCCAGGCTACCGAGCGGGATGTCAAATCGCAGCGTTTAAAAGTGTGCTTTAAAGGTGGGGAACCAGCCAGTTTTGGGCGGAATGAATTACCTGCATTAGTGAAAAGTGGTGCAGGATCTGAAATGTCGCGGATGTACATGTACATCATCCCTTCGAGGCTGTGACATTGATTCAATTACCCCGTTCAGCTACAAATGAACCTTGTCACCAGCAGGGGGGATATGTCCAGATCGGTTCCCGTGGGGGAAGGGAAGGAAGGCTTACACTAAGTTCCCCTGATCCCAACAGATATGTTTAATTTCTACCTTAATTAAGTGATAATATTCCTTTCTGAAGTTCAGTCCATACGCATAATTTGAAACACTGTACATACTTGTACTTAAACAGGTGTAAGCCTAAGCCATGAGATTCCCATACAGAGCGTCTGGCACACCGTCAGACATTCCGGATACATATTTGCCTCGGGAGCCCGTCGCGAACATCATATATTTTATTATCGTCGCGGTGTGGGGCATATTTAAGCCGTGGCTTGGGCCACAGATAAAGTGTGAAAGTGGAGGGGACTCGTCGTACATCTCCATCCTGTCTTGCGTACTGGGGAATCAGTACAGCTGTCGATTATTATCCCTCAATTTTGATCACATTATCGGTGGGTCATTGACAGCCGAGTAACAGCGTTGCATGCAGCAGCTCTACGCTTTCATTTCCACGATTGAATTACTCCAACCATACAACTGACGGTACGTGAAACCGGTCTAATAATTGTGCACATGCACCTACGGTGCTGGGGCTCATGTTGAAATGAGTGAACGACAGACGTACCTTCTACCGTGGATACCCGTACCCCTTAAGTGAACTTACACACTTCCTACAATTCATGCTACACACGTTCTCCACTCGATACTGCGTGGAATGTCTGAATCCAGCGCACTTGTATCCAAACCGATTTGATTGGTCTGTTCAGGGCATGCGCATCGGTGCAGCGCACGATGAATGTGCAATGCTAAACTCATTGGGTTGAATTGGTGGTACTCTGTTTAACGGGGACCGCCCCGAAACACTTCTTAGCAAAGCGGGGTGATCGCGGAGCAACGCAACCGATTAGCAGCCAATGAGACATATCTAATCACAGCTTTTACGTAGTTCAGTGTATGTTCATCTCGTCTGCTGGTAACACGCCGGATTTTTTTCTGCGCGATCCCAACTCCCGACAGAACAACGCCACTCGATTCGTGGATGACGAGCCAGTATTGCGGTGGACCTTAATACCAACAGGAAGTTGTAGGCGATCGTGTTCACTTGCGTGTAGAGGTTACACAGCTCACCCGTGGTGGCCCCGGATCGCTGGATTTGAATGGGGCGGCCAGGGATGGATTTGTTGGAGTTGAGAGCAAGACAAATATTAGCGTGAAAAGAGGAGGCGCAGGCAACATCTCGACGTGCCCTCATTCTGCCCTGTTTGACGGTGCGTGAAAGGGTTGGTCGACTCCACTCGAGAGCCTGCAGTGTTCGGTATACACACGTGTAGTTTACACAGAGCACCGCTGCCGTTGTCAAGTAGGAGAGCCGGATTCACACCTCTTGATCGGGTCTCGATGCCGGCGTTCTTTGTGATCAACACACTCTGAGGGAGCCGCATTCTCCAGAGTTTCCACTGTCGATAAACAGATTAACTACGGCTACTAAAGGTTAAATTTTCCTCGGATTTTCTGTGCCCTTATATTATACATTATACCCAGGAATATTTTAGGAAGATGTATTTTGCTGTGAGATTTCGGTATCTGCTGGCAGTGTTGTTGTTGAATGGGATATGGTGCGCCAGATCGGCCGGACAGAATTTGAACATGTTCGCAGCGCAACAGAACCAGCCGGATCCCTGCTATAGCGAGCCGGGCGGCCAGCCACGGCGCTGCGTCCCCGACTTTGTCAACGCTGCGTTCGGCGTTCCCGTGGAGGCGTCCAGCACGTGCGGAACGCCGCCGAGTCGCTTCTGCGCCCTGTCCAGCGGCGACGAGGGGGAACGGCAGCGGAACTGCTTCGTGTGCGACGCCAACCAGCCCAAGAGGAGGCATCCACCCGAGTATCTGACCGACTTGCACAACCCTAACAACCTGACGTGTTGGCAGTCGGAGCCCTTCACCGCCAATCCTCACAACGTCAGCCTGCATCTTGCGCTGGGGAAGATGTACGAACTCACCTACATCTCCTTGGAGTTTTGCTCCCTGCGTCCAGACTCCATGTCCATCCTGAAATCGCAGGACTACGGCAAGACGTGGCAGCCGTACCATTACTACTCCAGCCAGTGCCGGAAGGTGTACGGGCAGACCAAGAACGCCCCGATCACCAAGCAGAACGAGCAGGAAGCGATCTGCACCGACATCCTGAGCACAGAGCTTGCGCCGGTGGCGGGTGCCGGCTCGCGCGTCGCGTTCAGCTCGCTTGAGGGACGCCCGTCTGCCTTTGATTTCGACAACAGCCCCGTGCTCCAGGACTGGGTCACGGCCACGGACGTCAAGGTGATCTTCAACCGCTTACCATCGCTGGGCGACGAGGAACTCGACGACTCCATCCGCGAGAGCTTCTACTACGCCGTGTCCGACTTCTCCGTGGGCGGGCGCTGCAAGTGCAACGGGCACGCGTCCCGCTGCATCAAAGACCGGGATGGCAATCCCGTCTGTGACTGTAAGCACAACACGGCGGGAGCGGAGTGCGAGATGTGCAAGCCGTTCCACTACGACAGACCCTGGGCGCGAGCAACCACCAAGGAAGCCAACGAGTGTGTCCGTAAGTATCCCTCAGGTTTCTGTTCGTTTTTACGGTCAATAACTGTTTCCTGGATATCAACCGGAAATGTCAGGGAGTTGAATCACTCCGTCGTACAAACACTGCACGAGTTTATTTAGGCCTGCATGGATAGGAACGTGTTTACCTTTTTGCGTACAGTTGAACAAGTCAAATTTCCTGCCAAATTAAAATCGTGCCAACTGCATATGCTGATGACCCAACGCACTTTTCATAAACTGGGTCATCTGGATAGAAAGCACACAAACTCTACACTGTCGATACCATCATTCCTTGTAAAATCGTCCCACAACGCTGCCCTTGCCGGTACTTTTAGGTCTGCACAGAGCAGTAATCGCCACTCGACTAAAGACCTTATTAAATTACATGCGTGAACATGTCCAATTTTTTAGTGTAAGCAAGTCTTCAAGTTTATGGGGAAGTGAGGCTGTTTTTTTTTAACAGAGTGTTCAGCCACATGCGACAACTTGTAAGATGTTTATAAACTTAAGACAGCTACCTGATGGATTGCTCGTGTCCCCCAGACAAAAACATGCCGAGGACACGCGCGTATAATGCCGACCAGATCCGCCCTGTAATTGCGCCCCTAATTAGATTGTCATAAACCGTTGTAACGGGCTGTCTGGCGACGTAACAGTGCGATGTACTTACGCTGCACGAGCTAGCTGCTCCCACTGCGCAACTACAAGTTACTCTAGGATGCTTTGCGCGGTAAATCGGTTTGTATACGATGGCGAATGGGGTGCAACCGAGTGTTTTTCTCGCTGTGATCAGACAATAATCTGACATTACTGGACTGCAATACAACTTGCTTTGTTTCACCCGAAATGGAAACAACACACCTTGAGTTTTGTTCACGGTCCAACTGTATACATGACCTACTAGGCCTGTCTTATATTCGAAAGTCTTAGAAATAAGACAAGGCCTCCCCATGTATCCTGGACAGGATTCATAACCTGATTGCACTGCCTTATCTTCACCCATGAAGGGGACCTGTAGCGAGGAATCTGGACTAAGCCGTGCAAGCTTGGGGTTGTTTCCTCTGAGCCCGTTTGGCTCGACCTTTCTAGTGCCCGCTCTTCATTTCCCCTGACAGTCGTCTTTAAGTCGTTGCTTTCAAGTTCCTTTGTGCTGTCAATCCACTTTGTCTCACTGGTTTTCTGTTGTACCTTTTTTTCTCTAAACTGTCTTTGTGCTTACCTACTCACTTCACCATCCCATTCCATAAGATTACTTTGGGGGAAAAGTAGAGATTTTTGGTTTTTTTTTTTTTTTGGAGATACCTGACAAAAAAATCTGCCGAGACTCTTTCCAAAATTTGATCTTGTAATAATGTGGAGAGCGGCTAAGAAAATGCGCACTTTGAAATTCGTGAGCAGTGCAGATGCGTTGGCCCTTGTATTTGAGTTTACGGGAAGCCCCTTCATGGTTATATATTTATCCAATATGTTAACTAGACGACTTGCCAACGTTCAAAAAATATCTTACAGAGAAAGGTGTAAGAGTGTTAAACTGTCCCAATATACTTCTACTTTTAAGTTTACGTCTGCGGTTTTCTTTGTAAATGCTCACGAACGACTTGTATCTAATTACAAGATGACTTCTTGAAGTTACTTCAGGCTTTCCGAGGAGAAGAAATGGAACTGGAGTTGAGTAAGGAAAATATCTGACATGTCAAAGTGGCGATTTGGCACTACGTCCAAAATAGAGGATCTGTCTTGCAAACTTTGTAACCCTCAACCGATCGCTCTTACTATACCGTGGGCGCATTTTGTCGCCCAATCTTGCTCCTAATCCAAAGGCAGCTTGCACCGAATAAGTTCCGCCAGCAATTAGCGCGAGTGCAGGGAAGTTTCCGCGCTCAAATTGGGTGGAGATGTCGGGCCGATCTATCAGATGTGAACAGGTATTCTTCTGGGAGCTGACGGGAAACCTGGAGTTCTGCACACTCGATACCTGTCGCTATGCACATTGTAGGTTTTGATTAACAAAATGTTACGACGTGACAAAAGAAAAAAAGCGCGGTAGTCCCCAAAAACAGAATTATGCCTAGCTGTGCCCTAGTAAAATTTTCATTAACAGGACCACAAAGCCTGCAAATAATTCACTGTAAAAACAACAAATGTCTGACCTTTGTGGAAACACGGAAACCGTGACCATTAGAGACTTGGCAAAGTCTAGACGAGGTCGAACAGGGCTTTAACATGCGGGTTGATTCATAGGTTAGCTGGTGCGCTCCAGGCTGATGGAAATCAGCGAGCCAGCAACGGCCAGAGAAAGAGGAGGGAAGATTGAAGATAGAGAGAGAAAAAATGCCGACCCTGCGCCATGTGCTCCACCGTGTATTGTGAGAGTGGTGCACTCAGGAAATTGGCCTGCTTCTAATGCGTCAAGACCCTCCGAGCAACCAGCAAAATAAAAGGCCACATCGGTCCCTGCCGGCCTAAGGATTAAGTCCATTTCTCGCAGTCATGAAAACAGCCAGATTTTCTTTGGAAAGATACTTAGATTTGTTTCTTTTCCCGCGATACACTTATAAAACATGGATTACTACAGTGTTGGTCTTTTCCTTAGGACAGATCTTATCTTGACATGTCAATTTTGTTTTCTATCGGGATTTCAAAAAACAATGCATTGACGCAGACAAAATGTGACAAGGATAACTGGAGAAGATTTCACTTTACGAATACGAGGAACAAAGTCAAGACTCCCTCCCCCCTTATGGTGTCAACCTAAGTATGTGCAAACAATTTATGCACACAGCCAAATCAGGGATATCGTATCATTCCCATCGCAAAATGCGCGCTTTAATCACGCTGAATTGGGATGGAACAAGCGCCATGTCAGTTTTAGAAGAAAAAAAAGTTCAATACTTTCACCCTTGTAAGAGCCATACATGTGTCTTTGGTCATGGACTCAGGAACGGTAGCGTGAAAATTTCGACGTGCATGCCGGCCATGTCCAGGCGCGATAACCGCAATCTGTCGTTTGCAAAGCCCGGTTTCGATCAAGAATGGAATATAATTGAAGTGAAGTGGTTATAGAAACAGCTATTCCGCAACTACAACGAACAGGCCAGCTGAGGCAACTTTAACCTTCTTAACCGCAAAGGTGGATTTTTTAAGTGGAACGCTTGTGCACTAGTGAAAGATCCTCCGCAACATTTCCGCAACTGATTCTCGTTTCCTACATATCCTGGCTACCGAGTTTGTCACCGGCGTGAGACACTGTTACCGGAAAAGCACCGCGTGCTTCGTATCACAAGTTGCCGAGGCTAATAAAAGTTGTCCAGTTGTCTATCACCAGCGGCAATTCTTGTTCCTCCACAAGCTGGAAGGAAGGAAGAGGGGACCCCAAAAATGAAAAACCTCGATTATACACGCAATAAATTATAAAGTGTCCTAAAGGCAAGATGGACAAGCTGGTGCTTAGTGCACTCGGGGATGTTTGACCTAGATGGCGTGACGCTTAAATCCGCAATGCTCCCATCTCAATCAGCACAGGTTGGCTGCAAACTCGCGGTAACATCACGCGATGTGCGACGGAAAGTGTACCGGTATCCAAGCGGAGGATAACACGCTAATCATTTTTCACGGCGAGATGATCTGGTACACTAACAACCCAGAGATGGATCAGGTTAACCGAAATCTGGTTCATTCGGGCCATGCAGCCCTTCATTAAAAGAAAATATTAATTTCCCGATTTTTGAAAAGGAGTATCGATAATAATTATACTACGAAGCTCTTTAGATGTGTCTTCGCGCATTCTGGACTCCTTTTTTGCCGATTTTTGTCGATTATGTCATGAAAATCAAGTCATTTCCTGATTGCCATTTTATACGGTGACTTTTTAGCCTGAAAACCTTCAATTTTGCACGCCAGCTTGAATCTCGCACGTTTACAAATAAAAGTGAACTTACAATATCCTTATAGAATGCCTCTGCCAATGCATACAGTGCGTGTCCCTTTGTTCTCGCCACAATACCTTTGACTTCACAAAACTGCTACTCATCTGTTTGCAAATGAACCGAGAAAAGGTAATTTGTATAACTGGTCGATGAAAATTGCATTCCCGATCAGATTTAATCATAATGCGGCGAGTTGCGGTTGATAGTTCAATTACTACCCGGACATTATTCACTTGTTTGCTGCGGATATTCATGAATATAGCCGACCAAAGGAGGTTGGTGTGACCTTTTCTGACAAGGGTTAAGTTGTGGGGCTATTTAAGCCCAAAGTTCACAGAAATCATTCAAAGGGGTTAAAAGAATTGAAAGGAATTGTCCCACGGGTTCGATCATTTTGGGCCAAGAAGGGGGCAGTTGAACCTTGCCGGTAGCACGGGCCAACAACCCCGGATATCACTTTGAAAAAAATGACATCCACGGGTCAAACGCGGTCAATTTCTCCCAAGATTCCAATTACATCGGTCAGTATTAAGCTTAATAGTCCGCCCATTATCTGAGGCAGCCATGGGAACCCACTGTATATTTTGGTACTACATGTAGTCGCAGCTTTAATTTGGGTCGATTCATTTTGATTTTATACACCGATGGTCCTCGGAATAGGAGCGGGATTTGGGCGGCCTTCCTCATGGGCAGTGACGGGGGCGTCTTATTTAAGAAACGGAGCGTATAGCTCCGGGCGAGTGCTCCATCACTCCAACTACCCGAAGTTGATAGTTGGGGTTTACAAGGGTTGGGGGAAAGAAGTCAGTTCGAAAGACGACGGAGTCGTGGGACCATGCAGAACTGTCCACTCCTAGAAGTTACGGTCGCAATCGAGCCCGCACGAAACATGTTACATTTAAAAATATTTACACGTACTGTTACGCCAACTAAAACACCCAAACTGAATTAAACCAACTCAAACTATACAAAACGAATGCAAAAACGTACGCAGACACTACCCTTATCTCCAGCAATAATACTGGGTAAAGACCTATGTTTCAATTGGTTCCTTTCTCAAAAGCTCATCACCAAC